CGGTTCTCCCAATGTTCCACTTCATACTACACACTGAACCATTGGTATATATATATATATATATATATATATATATATATATATACTATACATACATATACACACATATATATATATTATATATGTTTGTATGCATATATACATACGCGTGTGTGCGTGTACGTGTGTGTGTTTCCATTTTTTTTGTTACATTGTTGAGTGAGTTGGATTGATATATCTTTTTTTATACTTTCATCCACTCTATCTTGCTTCATATATAAACTATGTAATATATATATATATATATATATATATATATATATATATATATATATATATATACATATATATATACATACAATTATATAAGGATTTGTATATAGATTATATATTTATACGATTATATAAGGGTTCGAATTGTTAAAATTGTTCATATGATTGAATGATAAACATGCAAGATGATGCTGAGTATGATGGTGGTTACGATGGCGATGATACCGATGATAGTAATTATGATAGTATCAATAGTGATTTTACTGTTTGGTGAAAACCAACAGAATGTCAACAAAATTAAAACTACTATGGTGTTACATTTTTCCTGTGCTAACTTACGGCTCTGAGTCCTGGACAATTTGTAAGGTAATGGAGAAAAAGATTAACGTTGCTGAGATGTGGTTTTTGAGAACAATTGTGAAAATTTGTTGAACCTCTCATACTTCGAATGAGAATGTATTAAAACAGCTCCCGGTTATGAAAAAAGGAAATTACTATAGATAATCCGACGGGGACAGTTAAAGTTTTTCGGTCACATCATGCGGAAGGAAAGAATGAAAAATCTAACAACTACTGGAAAGATTGCAGGGAGGGAAAAGAGATCGCGGTCAACATGGAATAACATTCGTGAAGTCCTTGTGTCACTTGTTGAATATCACCACATTTCTACTCGTACAAAGTGTTGAAGATCGGGTTTTGAAGAGGTCGTTGGTCGCCAATATCCTGAAAGGATAAGGCACGAGAAAGAAAAAAGAAAAATCATTACTGATGACAATGATGTCACTAATGAAAATGACGACACTATCAATAATATTGATGATACTATTAATGGTAATGATGATACTATCGACGATAATGATGATACTATCAACGATAATGATGATACTATCGACGATAATGATGATGGCCTTGATGATAGAAATGACGATTAAACGATGAATCGGTGATTTTTTTTTACTTTTTATCGATTTCCATTTCACAATTGTGATTGCTGATTCATTTATAGCTGGAGAAATAAATTTTCCCTTGTGTTTGGATTCTTCCCAACTGTAAACCCCTTACCTCCCAAATTCTATCCCCAACCGCCACCACTCATTGTTGAAACTTTGTTCAGTTGAATTTTTCTAAATTTGAACTTTCAAAAGTGGAAAACTAATTTCAATTCTAAATTTCAATTTTTCGTAAATCAATCTGAACTTTTTTTCATTATATAATTTCAATTTCAACGAGATTTTATACTCTTTGTTTTCATATATTCAGAATAAAAAACATTTTTAATCGTGTATTTTTTGGAAGTTTGTTTTAAAATTAAACCAAAAAAATGATTTATAAATAAAACCTAAAAATTATCTAATAATATTTTATATTTATGAGTCTTATATTTGCAATAAATACTCACATACGTGACGTAAGAATGACGTATTCATCATAATATTTCGACTGTTTATTGCCTTGAGGCATCTAATTGATAGCATGTCGTCATTGTGAAATGAAAAGAGAATAGATCATTAAACTTTTAAATAAATTCAAACTTCTTGAAAAGTGCTGACAAGTTCAACCTCACGATACTGAAATACAACAAGTGCACAGATGCAACAAAACGCGTTAGTATTCTTGCATATAGGTACGAAAAATATGACCAATAGTGAAATATTATGACGTCAGGATGTTTAATCATTTTCATTTGAAAGTTCGTTCCTCACCCCAAAAGAAAGGATAAAAGTGAATTACGGTGAGGAATACAAGCCAGGAAAGCAGGCAATTTCCATCTCCATGACCTCCTCTTACACCTTCCGAACGAAGGAAAATTTTCGTAACCGAGTGAAAAAAATTTTACTGTATGAATGTGTAAATTGCCATCAAAGCCATCGTCAATGACTGTTACGTCATCAACAGCATCAGCAGCCAACGTAGCAGGAGCTTTAGCAGCGGCGACAACAACGTCGTCATCATCATCATCATGCGCAAGAACAGCATCACTATCATTATCAATAGCGACCAATCAACAACAACATCAACTAATTCAAAAACGCATTACCAATAATTAAATCAACAGTTACATGAGCAAATAAACACACACACACACACTAGAGCCCTGCGCGGTAGGAATTTTCAAAAACCGCAACCGCACAAAACCGCAACATTTGAAACCGCAACCGCAGCGTCGAAAACCGCAACCGCACCGCAAGAAATGAAAAGCAACATTAATGCTTTTATTGACATTATAAATCACAACTATCTACATCCAAATCACTGTTACTCTTAATAAATAACGTTTGTCAATTTTGTATGGATTTAAACTGGACCGTCTCTTTTGCAGTGTATAATTGAGAAATGATCCTACCCTTTCTTTATCAATTACATCTACCTGTGGATCAACATTTTTTAACTCGGACATTTTTATAAAATAATCGATAATTAACCACGCCGTAAATAAAATAACTACTTCTTTCGAAGTAAACAGGAAAAAGAAAATGGTTGCTTCAACGGCTTCCAAAGATATTAAGATTTTAATATATAAAATTATTACAATGATAATGCAATTTTTAAAATGTTATGGACGAACAAAAATGTTTAACGCTATTTTTGCGGTCACCGCGGTTTTGATAAAAAAAAACCGTGCCGCGGAAAAACCGCATATTTCAAAACCGCAACCGCGTAAAACCGCATGATTTTGCACCGCAACCGTAAAAAACCGCGGTTGCGGTGCGGTTTTTGCGGTTTAAACCGCGACAACCGCAAACCGTGCAGGGCTCTAACACACACACACACACACACAGACACACACACAGACACACACACAGACACACACACACTAGCAAAACTATCAACTACAACAACAAACCAACAAAACAATAATAACATTGAATAACATAGAAAAAATTTAAAAACGGTTTAAACAACAACAACAGCGTTAAATCAAAATCAACAGCCCATCATGACGTCATCGTGACGTCAACAAATTTTTTGGTGCTGAAGCAAACAAGAAAATTTGCTTTATGGCGCTAGTGTTTACGGCTTCAAATGAAGACATCTTTGTATCTTACTAATTTGCACGTTGATGTTGTTGTGTAGTAGTAGCAGCAGCAGAAGTGGCAGCAGTTGTTGTGGCAGTATAGTAGCAGTAGTAGAGATGTCAGTAGTAGTTGTTGTTTTGCGCGTATGTTGTTTTTGTTTTTTGGTTGTTTTGCTTG